GGGGGGGGGGGTGATGGTGGGTGTGTGGGTTGGGGGTGAATCCGATTTTTCCCATTGTTTTCAATGTGTGTGGGTTGGGGGGTGAATCCGATTTTTCCCATTATTTTCAATGTGTGTGTGTGTGTAATGAAGGGGGTTGTTTTGGTGGATGTGAATCAGATATGGAGAAAGAGCGGAAATGGCGGCTGCATTGGTTGATTGGAAATGCCCCAGATGCAGAGATATTTGTAATTGCAGTAACTGCATGTAAGTATTAATTTTAGCTGAATCAGTGAACGTTAGTTTCTAATTGTTCATGTTTTTAAGAATGTCAGAATGTATCTTGATGAGATGGGAAAATGAATTGTAGGAAGAAGCGAGGTTGTCGCCCTACAGGGATCCTTTCCCATACTGCAAAGGCAAATGGGTTTTCTTCTGTTTCTGAAATGTTGGATTTGAGGGACTCTGGAACCGAAAAACATGAGAGTGCCTCAACGAAAAAATGGGCTGCCACAAATGAGGTCCACCGATGTTTCATTTTGGAATTGGTTTCCAGCATTGCATCATCATTTTTTTTTCCTTTTTAGAATTAGTTTGTTGTTCTGGGAAATCTGCAAATGAACCACTAATTATTTTTTAGGCATCTGGGGTGGTTTTGGAAAATAAACACAGAAAGGAAAATGGTGTTGACAGCAGAAGTGATTCAAAATTGAAGCCTAAGCCTTTGAAATTTGGAGGTGATGTTGAGAAAAATGAAAAATTCATGACAAAGAATGAAAGAAAGATAGACGGTACAGTGAAGAACCCTGAAAAGACTGTGAAAGATACTGATGCCTCGTCAAAAGAATCAATTGCCTTAGACAAGGTCTGGTCCTATTAATATATATGCATGCACAATTCTTTTCTGCTGCATTATTATTTTGTGGGTTTCTTAATCAGTGTATTATGTGTGTTTCTTTGTGCTTTTGATCACCTTCTGTAGCAGCCTCCAGTAGCTCCAAGAAGAAGATGCATAAAAGAAAATGGCTCAGATAGCATAATGGAATCTAAAACTCAAGCCAATCCGTTAGAAATAAACGGCAATGAGAGGAAACCTAAGAATCCCAATATCAAAAAAGTCAGAAAGGCTGAAGTACTTGATAATTCGTTGGAGGACAACAGAAGTACTGCTAAGAAGCACTGGATTTCCGAGGAAGTTTCGAAGAAAAAAGAGAAATCATACAAAAGGGTTAATGGTGGTGGAAGATTAATTAGGGTGAACTCTGAAGTACCGGTGCTGAATAAAATTTCTAGGGGGTGTTTGATCAAGAGAGAGGATGATGAGACTGAAGTTCCTGGTAAAGTTAATGTCAAAAATGTCACAAACGGTGAGGCCAAATGTAAGCCAGTGAATGAATTTCACCATTACAACAAGAATCCCATGGAAGTCCAGGGCAAAAGTTCCATTGTTGAGATTCAACTGCCTCAAGGAATTGAATTAACTAATGTAGCTAATGTTGGCATAACTGCTGAGGATATCGGGCATGCTTTGCAGTTCCTTGAATTTTGCGAAGCTTTTGGTCAGGTTAAGTATTAGATCTAGTATGAGATTACTAGTGAGGTTAGCAACTTATAGTTGTTATGTTTTTTAAATTAGATGCTATTACTTATTGGTTCTTTATGCTCACATTTCAATAGTCACTAAACACTTGGTTTTCTTGCTTTAACTCAATTCCTCCCCATGAGGTAGTAATGTTCGCAAGTAAGATATCCTTGTTAATAATTTATTTTATTGGGTTATCACTTAGTTTTTAGGTTTTATTTATCGTGCTAAAGGCTTGAGTTCAATTTTAAAGTTCATTTCTTGATTCAGCTTTTGCTGGTAAAGTTAACATATAACTGTTTCTAAGAATCCTAATTTTCTTGTGATTGTCATTTTGTTAAGTCAACCCTGCAGTATTTCCACTTATTAGTTTTCCTTGGTAGGTGAAGGTTTATATATGCTGTGTAGAATATGATTTGATGCAGCCATTTAAGTGTGGTTCTCAATTATTGACCTTGAATCACTGCAAGGCAGCTTTTGCATGTAAAAGGGTTAGAGATGCTGTAGTAGTCATTATTTTAATAATGCTTGCCATTTATTATTTGAATATTTTTTCTATTATTTAGGTGTTCGGTCTAAAGAAAGGGCATCCGGATTTGTTTCTTCAAGAAATAGCATGTGGCCAAAGTTCATGTCGAAAACACAATCCATCAGTTGTTCAGTTTCATATCAAATTGCTTTCTATGATACAAGAGGATTCAGGGAAAGAGTTTGTATCTCTACTATAGTTATTTGCAAATCCTGTACTTTTGATCTGATTAGTTTGGGATGACCATCCAATCTTATATTTTGTGCAGATGTACCTCCTTGAAAACTAGAGGCAGAAATTCATGGGTGGAATCTCTTTGTAAGTGCATTTCTGAATCCCAATATGCACTAAAAGAATTGCTTGTGGATGGTGTAGATGTGGCCTCTGATGGATATGAGAAGTTGAACTCTTCAAAAAAGCTCAAACTTCTTAATTTTTTATGTGATGAAGCTCTTGGCACAGTGTAAGTGACAATCTGCTTCTATGAAATTTAATAATTTTCATCTTGCTATGATTTTAGGATCTGTGTTTAATATCACAATTCTTGGCTATAGAGAGTTAAGGAGTTGGATTGATGAACGAAACTCAGAATTTGTGGAAGAAGAGAAGAAAGCGAAAGAAAAGGCTTTTGCTGAAAAAGAAAAGGTAATGAATCAATCTGGAAACAAAGTCTTGGAGGATAAGCCTAACATTGTTCTTAAAATTTATGTTTGTTTCATATCTGATGCTTTGCATAGGAGAAGAACAAGAGGAAGAAGCTGCAGGATGAGGTTGCCAGAGCTATTCTCAATAAAAATGGTGCTCCTCTATCCATTTCTGAACATGAGGCCCTTGTTGCAAACATAAAAGCTGAAGTAGCTCAAACTCTTGCGGGGACGCTAGAAGCAACAGATATAGTGATGAAGAGTATGTTCTTCTCTGAAGTATGAATAGTAGTTGAAGCACTGTGGGGTTTACTATATATGCTATTTTGCTCCCTAGTTCTCATTATTGAACTTTCTATTTTCTGCTGAATTGATTCATTATTAAATTAGTCCTCATAAATCACTTGGGATAAATCAGTAATTGCCAGAGGTCTTAAAAAACGTGTATTAGGAGTCTCTTGCTTTTGTTAGTTATATTGTTTCCCTTATTTCCAACTTAATATATATGTGTTGTTTTAGCAGACAACGGAGTTCAGTACACAATTCCTAGTAGCCTGATAACATGCAGTTTTTTGATTGATCATCTGGTTTGTAGTAACACATGCTCAACCAAATTTCAGAAGTTTGTTTTTTGTTCCATTCATAAATGGTCATCTGTAGGATATTAGGTTATTTCAATTAAGGGCATTATTATAATCTTTCATTTGTTATGAGCTAATATAAGTATGGGTAATGAGAGGAGAGACTGATTTACTCTCTTATTCTCTTTAACCTTATTTTCTTAGGCTTTCTCTTTTCTCTTCTCTCTTGCCTCCTCTCTAGTTTACAATTTATGTAAACTTTGGAAGCCATTATAACACTCAGGAAGGCTCAAAGGGCCTGCTAGACAGCTGATGTCGTCACTGGAATGATGACGTCATCCCTGGAGTTGATCGAAACTGGCATGGTATGAGTCGGTTTTTCCTTCTGAGTACGGTTATGATTTTTCCTGATTTTTTTTGAAGCCATCTGAGGTATGTTTTGTATTTTTGAATGTTTTTTTGGATTTTTTTGGTTCAATTTTATGATCTGCAATTTGGATGAGTTTGGGACTGTAATATCTACTTTAAGTTGATCTGTGGGTGTCGAGTTGTACTCCTGGGAACTCTGGGAGAGTTCGTGCGAAACCCAGTTGTTTTTGGGCAATTTCTAGTGGTTTCTTGGCTTCAGTAGTCACCGACTGTGACTGGTAGCTCCAGTAGCCTTCTTCTCTCTGTGCTTTGAGTTGTCGCTGAATTTTTTTCTTGTGTTTAGCATCTGTTTGTGAACTCTATTGGCTAGAGACGATTCCGTTGGCAGGTTGGGACTCCGGCAGGTTCGTTCGGCACTCCGGTGACCCACTAGTAGCTCCCTTTGGTGCTGGGCAGTCCTCTAATGTCTCCTATGTGCTTGATATTCCTCGGGAGATCATTCTTTGGTGCTGGGAATTAGCAGGTTTGTTCCTGTTGGGCAGTAGTTGCCACTGGGTTGTTTCTCCTTTTTATTTGCTACTTGTGACCTATGTGAAGACTCTTTTGAAGTGTAGATTGCTGATTTTTGTGTTGAGTTGATCTTAAATTGAAAAGATGCTATGTTTGACGTTAGTGAAGGAACAACCAACAGTGAGAAGAGTGAGAAGGGTGTAGTGAGTCGTATGGGTACACTTGGATGCAACCTGTCCCTCCAGGTCAGTCCGGTGAAGTTGGATGGGGAGAACTACTTAGCGTGGTCTCGATCGTGCCTACTATTAGTGCGAGCAAGTGCATTAAATGGATACTTGATAGGAACAAGTAAGAAACCTAAATCTGAACCTGATTTTAGCAAGTGGATCTCTGAGAATTTATTAGTGATGACATGGTTACCCAACTCAATGCAACCTAATATTAGCCAGATTTTTTTTTTCTTGAGATAGCTTGTGAGATTTTGTCAGCAGTGACTTAGACATATTCACAAGTTGGGAATGATGCTCAGATTTATGTGCTCTAACAAAAGATTCATGAAACCAAGCAGAAGGATATGACTCTTGCGGAGTACTATGCAGGGTTGAGTAGTCTATGGCAGGAGCTGGATTATTATTAGGATTTTCAAGCACACTATGTTGAAGATACTGCTAAATTTCAGAAGTTGATAGAAAAAGAATGAGTGTATGACTTTCTTGTAGGTCTCAATATGGAATTTGATTGGATTCGTGTACAGGTTTTGGGTAGAGATCCTTTTCCCTCCTTGAGGCAAACTTATTCTTATGTGCAATAGGTGGAGAGTAGAAGGAATACCATAGAGAGAACCGATTCTTTCAACCTCGTCGTGACGGTAAGAATGGAGGATTGGAGAAGGATCTGTTAAAGCGTGACTATTGTGTGAAGACAAGACACACTAAACAGCATTGTTGGAAGCTACACGGTCGTCCATCACGAGGGCATGGTGGTAATAGTGTTGGTACTATACGCTCACATGCTTAGAGTGATGGTCTTATATCCTCTACCAGTGGCCCATCTTTATTTTTTGATCCTGATAGTGCGAGTTTTACTACAAATGAGATGCAAGTTCTCAGGCGTTTGATGGCCCGGCCTGATAATTCATTTGCATCTAATTCCACTTCTGTTGCTTCCAATTTTGCTCACTGTTACAACCATGACTCAGTTGTGGATAGCATTGCATGGTTCACGGATGAAGTTGTTTTTAGGTTGTTATTTTGTGACTTCACGTACAGGGAGTGGTCTTTTATTTTTTTAGGAGTTTGTTAATTTGTTTAAGCTGTTCGAGTTGGTTACCGAGTCAAGAGGGATTTTCCTCAATTATAAGTCATAGGTTGTTATGAGACTCCTATTTAAAGGAGGTTGCAGTGGAATAAAGGTATAATTGAATAATTTGCAAATCTTATGTTACTCTTGGAGATCAAGGCTCTCTCAAAGTAGCCAATTCTTGTTATTATCTTATTGCTAACATTACAATAGGTAGATCCAGGAGGAAAGCTGTTCTTCCACCCTCAAACCATCGCCCAGTTATTCGTTCCATTTCAGCGGAACATAATATTTTGGTATCAGAGCTAGTCATGTCGAAAGAAAGCATCCATCGTTTGGAAGCTAAAATAGGCAATTTATCATCAGCTCAAGAAAGAAGTCGGCATGAGTTTCGACATGAGATTCATGAGCTGTTTGCAGCCATAAACAATCGTTTCAATCAACTAATAATCCAAAAAAATGCCGTGCAAAGTGAGAACTCTGTATGATAGCCCGAGGAACAACGAACATCATCAACCAGCCGATCAGTTGTCCCTAAGCTCACCAAGCTAGAATTTCCCAAATATAAGGGGGGAGATGACCCAACCTGCTGGGTTTGTAGGGCAGAGCAGTTTTTCAAATTCCAGCAGATTGAACCTGCGGAGTGGGTTTCCCTGGCAGCCTACCATCTGGAGGGAGAAGCCCAACTGTGGTACTAGCTCATGAAGGAAGAAGGCCAGCCGGTCACTTGGCCTCTCCTCAAGGAGGGTCTTCATGCCCGTTTTGGACCTTACAGAGTTTGAGGATTTCTTTGGGGACTTAATAAAACTCCGTCAGCATTCCACTATCCGTGATTACCAAACCCAATTCAAAATATTGCTATCCAGAGCAGGGAAACTAACACCCAACCAACAAGTGGGGTGTTTCATTAGTGGCCTCAAAGAAGCCATTCGGGTTGAAGTGCAGGCTGTGCATCCTACCACCCTATCATCTGTCGTTGGCTTAGCTCGTCTATTTGAAGCCAAGTTGTCCTCTCTGAGTAATGTTTTAGCCCTATAACAGATATGCGACGGCCCAATGTTACTCCAACGGAAGGGAGTCGAGTCATCAACCCCACAGTCCGAAGATTCTCCCCAGCAGAGATTGAGGAACGGCGTAAGCTGGGCTTATGTTTCCCACTGTAATGACAAGTTTGGACCCCGCCACTTATGCAAGAAACTATTCACCTTGGAAGCTTGCTATCCGAAAAAAGAAGAGGAATTCCAGACAACTGTAGCCGACCGAGAAACAGAATTCCAAGAAGAAATAACAGAGGAGGCCCCCGCCATCTCATTACATGCAATTTCGGGAACTCAAGCACCTCAAACAATGAGGATCAAAGGAGCACTGGCGGTGTTACTATGACTGTCCTATTGGATTTAGGGAGTACACACAATTTTCTTAAGGAAGAAATCGTCAACAAAATGGGGTTAATTCCCGACACTCATGACAAACTCGAGGTGAAGGTTGCAAGTGGTGAACGTCTATCCAACAAGGGGCGGTGCTTGGGCGTGAAACTCCACTTACAAGGAGTCCCTATTATAGTAGACTTCTATATACTACCATTGGAAGGGTATGAGTTAGTACTTGGGGCGCAATGCCTTCAAACCTTGGGACCTATCCTTTGGGACTTCTCCAAACTAAGAATGCAATTCATGGTGGGCAGCAGATAGGTATGTCTCAATGGGTTATTCCATTCCTCTAATGAATTTATAAATGAGGTTGGAATACAGAAGGAAGCACGCAAAAGGAAGGAAGGATTGATACTCCATCTCCACGCTATTGAGGGAAGCACTGAACTTGCCGTCACACAACCACGCCTGCAAACCCTCCTGGAGACTTATCAAGATCTTTTCATAGAACCTCATGGACTTCCCCCCATGTAGAATCTAGGAGCATAAGATACCTGTGTTGCCAGGAAGTTCTCCTGTCTATGTGCGGCCTTATCGATATCCTTATTTTCAAAAGACAGAGATTGAACGACAGGTGCAAGAAATGCTAATAAGTGGAATAATTCGTCCCAACAACAGCCCGTATACTTCCCCCGTCCTGTTGGTGAAAAAGGGTGACGGATCTTGGCAACTGTGTATAGATTTTCGAGCACTCAACCGGCTGACCGTCAAAGACAAGTTTCCAATACCATTAATCTATGAGTTACTGGATGAACTCCACGGCTCTCAGTTTTATACCAAGTTGGATCTTCGATCAGGATATCACCAAATTCGGGTTCATGTCGAAGACATTCTGAAGACTACTTTTCACACCCATGAGGGTCACTATGAATTCCTAGTGATACCTTTTGGGCTCACCAATGCACCATCAACCTTTCAGTCTCTTATGAATAAGGTATTCAAACCCCATTTTCGCTGATTTGTTCTTGTTTTCTTTGATGATATATTAATGTACAGTCGATCATAAGAGGAACACATTCGGCATTTGGACATCGCTTTGGCCACCTTGCAAACTCATCAATTATATGTCAAGCGCAAAAAATGTCAATTTGGCACAAAGAGAGTCAATTACCTTGGTCATGTTATTAGCAAGGAAGGAGTAGCTGTGGATCAAGACAAGATCTAAGCTATGCTTGAATGGTCTAAACCAAAATCTTTGAAAGCTTTGCGAGGCTTCTTGGGACCCACAGGATATTATCGGAAGTTTGTTAGAGAGTATGGAAAAATTGCTAATCCATTGACGTCCATGCTTTAGAAGGATTCCTTTTTCTGGACGGCCGTCGGAGAAGAAGCCTTTGCCCTATTAAAAACCACAATGACCACAGCACCAGTCCTAGCGTCATTAGATTTTTTCCAACCCTTTATTATTGAGTGTGACGCTAGTGGGTTGGGGGTTGGAGTAGTCCTCATGCAAGATCGAAGGCCGATTGCTTTCTTTAGCTAAGCTCTCCATGGCCGTAATCTCTCACTAGTTACTTATGAAAAAAAGATGCTAGTTCTCGTGTTAGCAATCTAGAAGTGGCACCCTTACCTCTTTGGCCGACATTCATCATCAGAACTGATCAACACAATCTAAAATATTTGTGGGAACAACGTATCACAATTACTCCCCAACAACGCTGGATCTCCAAGCTGCTTGGTTACGATTTTGTGATCAAATATAAGAGGAGCGTCGAAAACGTAGTTGCAGATGCACTTTCTCGCCGAGACATCCCAGCAGAAGTAAATGCACTCACCCAACCCGTTCCATGTTGGCTAGAATTTATTCGAGATGAAGTAGCAAACTAGCCAGAGCTTCAGCGACCAGCACAACTTTGCCGGCAAAATGACGTGATTGGTCCATGACAATATAAGGATGGAGTACTCTTCTTCAAAGACAGATTGTATTTAACGCAGGACTCAGCACTCATCCCAGAGATAATGAGCCAATTCCATTCTTCAGCCCATGAGGGCTACCAAAAAAGGCTCCAGCGTATTCGACCCATATTTTACTAGAAAGGGATGAAACACCAAGTGATCGATTTTGTTCGCACCTGTGATACCTGCCAACGCAACAAAATTCAGAACTTAACCCCCACGGGCCAGCTGCAACCTCTACCGATCCCAAAACAAGTTTGGGCTCACATCTCGATGGATTTCATCGAGGGACTTCCACCTTCAAAAGGGAAATCAACAATTTTGGTGGTGGTGGACCGACTATCCAAGTACGCTCATTTCATTCCAATAGCTCACCCCTATACCGCTGTCTCGGTTGCCCAAGTTTTTTTTGAACAAATCTTCCGTTTGCATGGAATGCCCGAATCAATCGTATGTGATCGCGACTCAACCTTCACCAGTACTTTTTTGGGCCACCTTATTTCGTCTTCATGGCACGGCATTTAATTTTAGTTCAGCTTACCACCCTCAAACGAAGGTGGTGAATCGTACCATCGAGATGTATTTAAGGTGTTTAACTGGAAATCATCCCAAGTATTGGGCTACTTGGATTCCATGGGTAAAATTCAGTTATAATACTGCTTATCACAGCTCAATTAAAACAAGTCTGTTTGAAGTCCTATATAGTCGGCCACCTCCAAACTTACTGTTCTACATTGTCGGCACCACTAAAGTAGATGCAGTTGACATTGCATTGAAAAGCCGCGATGATTTTTTGAAACAAGTTCGACAATGCTTATCACAAGCTCAGGAACGCATGAAACGTATCTATGATCAAGGTCATCGTGAGGGGCAATTTGAAGTCGGCGACTGGGTTTATCTTAAGCTTCAGGTGTATAGGCAACACAGTGTTCAGTTTCGAAAGCATGCTAAGCTATCTCCAAGGTTCTGCGGTCCATTAGTAAGGCTGCTCCATTAAATAGAATAGAATGACTACTATGTTTTTTATTTTTTTTATTGTTATCTTATTTTTGTGCTCCTCTTCCTGGGGCTATGCCTTCTTGTCTCCTTCTAATAGTTTGCCACTGAATAAATTAGACATTGAAGAGCAGGTACTTTGAAACAATTCCTCGAGTCCACCTTGATTTGGATGGTGGAATTGTGAAAACTGTAGTGTAATTGTTTCAATGGAAATAGAAATCCATGAACACCTACCATGATGTTTACATTTGGTCATAGTTGCAGCATGTATACCGCATAATTTATTTTCAGCTGACCTTGTATTTTCCAACATTAACCAAAGAGATACAGCGATCAGATGCTGTTAGATCAGAGCCCATGCTTTTGGATGCAAATGGTCAAAAGTTCTGGCAATTGAGAGGCACCTCTGGCAAAATGGGTATTCTGCTACAAGGTATATTGATTTGGATTCTTTGGAATTATTTTCTAAGCCTTGGATGCACCGGAATCGACTTTTTTTTTTCCCTCTCTAATGAACAGATGTTGGAAATGGAGATCTCATTACTTGTGAAGAAAGATGGTTTGCTTTTGATGTCGAAGAGAAGGCAACGGTTGAAAAATATATTTCATCTTTCAGGTAGTTGTTTTTTTTTTGAGAAAGAAATTATAGTATTAGTGTGCTTTCCACATCGTTATTTCCTCCATTGATATATCCAATTTTATGAATTTTTTGAATCTATGGATAAAATAAGGCAAAAAATAATATTATAAAGACAATAAACTCATTATTACGTTTCCACATCAAAGTAAAATATGGTGATCTTCTTTATCTAATGAGTGAGGACTCAGCTTTAAAATCGTCTGCCCCGTACCCACCCCCTAGTATATCATCTGTGTTGTTTTTAGTAGGATACATGTCTGTTTGTAGATTACATATTTTATCAAATCATGCAAGATATAAAAAAATTACATTTGGCACTTCTGTTGGTAGAATAAAAATCTATTTTTGGTTTACATATTTTTTTGGGTAACTTTCTCACGACCCCTTGACATTAAGTCAAATGACATGGAAACCTCAAGAAATTCCAATAATAGACCAACAACCCCTTGAATTTTATAAATCGTGGCACACAAACCTCCTTTGTCTAACGAGCAATGTTATGCTTACCAAATTATTTACTAAATTTTGTATCCCAAATCAATATGGGTGGTTGGATCAAGAGGGTCCACTAACCTCTACCAAACATTCAATGCACACGATTTTGACACATCATTTGGGATACAACATTTGGTAAACAAATTTGGGAAGTATAGTTTTATCCTTGTCTAATGCTTCCTTTGTACATTGAAGAAAATGATGATGCCAACAAAAAAAATTGAATCGGAAAAAAGAGGGATTCCATTTGTAAGATATCCAATGATAACGTCACTGGAACGGAGATCTTATTCAAAGGATTGAGGGAGTGAGAGGGTGGCTGGGGGTGATCTGGAAGCAAAGAAAGAGAAGGATAGAGATACAAGGGACAGGGTCAGAGTTTGACCTTTTTAGGTCTGGATTTGAACATGGGTTCAAGTCCATGTAGGGTTTGAGTGGGGGTCTGGATATGGTTCCATTATATTTTTCTTTCATTTAGTTTTTGACCCAATCAAATAAAGGATAAAAAAGACTTTAAATTGTTAATGTCGATTGGGATCACTGTCATTTTTGAAATGTCAGGGGATATTCATGTTATTTGACCTAATGAATACTAGAAATTAATCATCTGGTTAGTTTCTATATGACTCGAAGATACTCTATGTTTTGTTTTTTCATTTGTGTGGTTGTCATCTTGCTTACAGTTATCACTTGGAAAAAATGAGATGAATGATCTAGATGCACTGAAGTGGGTATATTGTAGTGTATCACAATGGGTTTTCTTGATTGAACTACAACTCATTGCAACAATGAATAAAAACAGAGCCTTTAGGAAAATGTTGACAGTTCTCTACTTTAGTAATGAGTTTTAGGACTAAAAAATTCCATTTTTCTTCGGAAAAAGGGAAAAAATAAAAGCATTGAAAAGTGAAGGTCAATTTTTCTTTCTTCACTAGTGTTCATTAAATGTTTTAGTTAAATAGTGCAAGCCTTAACTGTCAATTGTCGTAACTTTCATTATTACCATATGAAGATTGCAAGCATTGGAAAAACTAAAAATAAAGATGCTTATCCTTTCCTTTGATCAATTTGGATCTTCTTCTGTTTTTTCATAATTTTCACTGTATATTTCCATTTACAAATTCCTCATTATTCCCCAAAAGACCTGAAAAATTGGGGTTGTAAATGGGGCTGGATTGAGCTTGAGACTTGGTTGAATATCTTAGGCCAAAATACGAGATCTGGCAACTGCTTATCTTGCATAATGAGTAAAATCTACTTTTTTTAGATTCTTACATTGCTTAGTGTTGAGAATCTGAATTTCGAATTAAATATTTTGGAACAAATACTCAAACTTACAACCAATTTGTTTTCTGGTTGCAGGATGCTTAAAAAATGAAGAAGTTCTCTACATGCTTTCAACTAATATGCGTGCCAACCAATTCTTTCAAACAAGTCGTCTGTTTTGTTGTGCTTCATCCCATTTATTGGTTCGTAGGGCATCTTGATCTGGCCCTATTGTTTCCTAGGAAACTTTGTTGTCTTCCACTTTTGTGTTGTCTGTGCATATAAAATTTGGCTTATTATGATATCAACATCTAACCACTTTCTCGACTGTAATTACGAAGTGCATGAAACTGTATCCCATAGACTCGAGACATAACTGTAGGGTTGTTGGTGTTGTACCAAACATGTGTGCACAAATGTTGGGTGATGGGGTGATGAATGCAGTGACATAGAAGGTAATGGTTAGTGTAAGAGTTGGGAGGACTTCTGCTTTTTTGAATCCTAGAAAATGAATTGCTCCTTAAAATTCCATAATTCAAAATTAAGTCCATGTATTAAATCTGAACCCCTTTGTACTTAAATCTGTAACTACTTGTGCTGTAGGATCACTTTCTAGATTCCGACTCTATTGACACTTTTTGTGTGATTTGTGATGATGGTGTCCATTTCGGCGATACTCTCTTTCCAATTAGACAGAATTTGGCTGCTGAATTCCTCGCAACATTCATGTCAACTTGGCTAATTTTTACTCCAGATTTCATAGACTTGTTTTTGCATGTCGCCTAGGTGAGGGAGTGGTTAAGTAGTAAGGATTCAATTCTACCTGCAAGTGGTTGTGACTTCAAACATCATCCTGTTGGGAGCCCTACCACCATAAATAGATTGTAATATTGTAGAGAAGTGGGTGTTCTTTCGTTGAAAGTAAATCCCATGTGGAAAGTTTATGGAACTTGTAAAGACTTATATATATAATTGTCCTTTAAAGAGCTTTGAATTGATTTAAGGAAAATTTGGAGGTCGGTCCTCTTATATAGACTTTATTTTGAGATAAGTTCAGCAATAAAACTTATTTGATTTTAAATTTATTTTTTGTCAAGTTTACTATTGTACTTCTATCCTTTGGAAAAACAATAATTAACGTCTGACTTATCGTTTCATTCACATATGTTAGATTTTTGAGGTATATATAAAAATCCTTGATTGAGTTATATATGAAAACTGTTTATTAAATATTATGATAATTAACAGAAGTTTTATATGAAAGTTATGTATTCTGATAATTATATATGGAAGTTTGATATACGAATAAATTGTTGGTCTATTAAATCAAAATCAAATCACAAAATTTCCTTAACAATTTAAAATTTCCTTAACATTAATGTTATTATAGTGACATGAATGAAATTGTTTTCTTTAAAATACTCAATACCCAAAATGAAGAATTTCACCATTTCAAATAATAACACAAACCCAACACCAATTTTACTTACACTACCAATTGCAAACCTTTATATGTATATTATGTAACATACACATTTAATTTTCACAGTAACAACAAAGGTTTGTGCTTAGTAACACATCAATTTTTACAAAATATAAGATAATAGAGTTTTCACAGTAATGTTAATTTTAGAAAGAGTGTAGTGAAAATATGATCCACAAATTAAAAATTTATAAAAATTTTAGTAGTAACACACCGTTGATAGTTGAAATAGGGTCTCTTCCTTACGTCCTGATTCCCGTACCGAAGGAATTCCTGAAGAGGAGTTCCCTGTGTCAGTGTTGTTCAAAGTTTCCCTTTCTTTCCCTTCAGTCTTGTTCAACTCTATTCCTTCAATCTCAACATTAATTAAGAACATCGAGACATTGAAAATTTTGAAATTTATTTTTCAGTTATTACACAGTAACATAATCTATTTCATAGATACACAACCAAGATAATTCGAATATCTTGCACAACAAAGAAAATAACAAAATTGAATTATATAACACTTTACTTTAGTAATAATGAATCTCAATTTTTAAACTAGGAATGCAAAAAAAAATCTGATAGTTTGAACTATATATTATGTAGAAGTTTTTTAAAACCCTACAGTGAACATCAACTTTTATGTAAAATCACATACCTTAACTTTATTTTTGAATCCCAAAGTTGTGAAGATGTTTTGAATGTAAAGAATCAACTGTAACTTTGTCAATGGATTTCACAGTAAACTTGAAGAGTAAAATCGAAATTGGGGTTGAGGTTGAGTTTGCATTACTATTTGAAATTATGGAATTCTTTATTTTGGGTATTGAGTATTTGAAGGAAAATAATTTCATTCGTGCCACTATAGTAACACTAATATTGAAGAAATTTTTAATTGTTAAGGAAATTTTGCAATCTGATTTTACTTAATAGACCAACGATTTATTCGTATATCAAGCTACCATATATAACTATCAGAATATATAACTTCCATATAAAATTTCTGTTAATTATCATAATATTTAATAAATAATTTTCATGTATAACTCAATCAAGGATTTCTATATATACCTCAATGATCTAAGCTATGACTTTCCATAACTGGATAAAACTAACACTATTAGGGTAATTTTGAGATTTAAAAAATAAGTGAACTTAAGTACGTACATATAAGTTTAAACATGAACTTACTTCCAAATAAGTTTCCTTTCAAAACTCAAGTCGTTATAAATCTATCTAGGATGACTCATTTTTAATTTTCACTTGATTTAAGAGGCAACCGTGGGCCAAGCCCAAAGAGCTTGATACAAACCATTGGAACCACACACCCACACGTGTTGTGGGCAATGGGCCGTAAGGGATGCTTGTGATCAAGGAAAGAGCGAACTTGATATACATACATTGGAGTGCGTTTGAGTCTCCATTGGTATATGATTAATGTTTTTATATTTTAATAATTTGTTAATTAACTATTTTTTGAAAATATATCTATTTAAACTGGAATTTAAATTTCAAGTGTCGTGATTCTTCAACGGTGACAATTCTTGCTGACTTTCCAATAGTGTTCGTTCTTCTTGACTTTTCAATCGTGATTGTTCATGTCTATATAAACAATATTTTTACAACAGATTAATCGCTTCAATTTTGCTTTTTAAACTGTTGAGAGAGAGAGAGAGAGAGAAAAAAAGAAATTTCTTCAGAATTGCTATCTACAGAAATTAAGACATTGTTGTATTTTAGAAGTGATTTGCTAGGAATTGTTTAGCAAACTCTTCGGATGGGGGTAAATACACTTTAAAGAAAGTGATTTTATGCACATCAAAGTTTTATTTTATTCTATTTGGCAATTTGCTCAACATAATTACCCAACAATTTTAAAGTGATATTAGCAATGGCTATCGAATCAAGTGCTACATCATTTTGATGGAAAAAATTTTACTCACTGGAAGAACAAGATGATGTTTCTTCTCATTGCTCTGAAGGTTGCTTATATATTGGAACCAAAGCTGCAACCAATTCCTGAATAAAAAAAAAGAGCAGAAGACCTTGACTAGGTTAAGGATGATCGAAAACAGCACTGAGCACACTGTTCGATTGATTGTATGATCTTTATGTATTGCTAAAGTCTCCACAAGAAATTTGGAATGTATTGTAATAAAAAATATATGTCCGAGAAATAGGGTACGAACAAATTTCTGATTATGAAATATTTTGAGTTTAAGATGACTGATAACATACTCATCTAGGATCAAGTGCATTAATTGTAAGTTCTAGTTAATGGACTTCGTGATGTTAAAGTTAAAGTTCCTCAGTCAATTCAAGTGGGGGCAATTGCTGTAAAACTTCCTCCCACTTTGGAATAATTATAGGAATAAACTTCAGCATATGCCAAAAGATTTCAATTTAAGGATTGAAGAAGAAAATAGAAAACATGATGATGTATATTTGAGTTCTAAAGTGAATGATGTGTCTAAAAACAGGTCTAACAAAAACTAGAAATTTCAGAAATATCTCAAAGTGCAGAAAGGTTTTAGTTTTAAGAGGAGTAACAATTCCAACACAAAGAATGTCTCATGCTTTCATTGTGGAAAAAAAAAAGGTCACTATATTCATGAATGCAGGTACCATAAGAATGAAAATAAGGACAGTTCAAATTCTGAAAAATGATAAGTATGAAATATGTGCAAATTATATGTGCAAGCATGGATATATTTCTTATAAGTATAAAGAAAATGATAAGTATGAAATATGCATTTAAGCCAAAATCACAAAGAAGCTTTTTCCCAAGGTAGAAAGAAATACACAACTATTAAAATTAATACATTCTAATATTTGTGAATTGAATGGAGTTCTAACAAAATGTGGTAAATGGTACTTTATAATTTTAGTAATGACTGTTCAAAATACACATATGTGTACTTAATCCGAACCAAAGATGAAACATTTAATTTCTTTACATGTAATACCGTGGAAGTAGAAAATCAAAAGGAAAATAAAATAAAGATTCTTCGTAGCACAATATACTCCTCAATAGAATACTTTCTTGATGAAATTTTTGCTTATTATGAAGAGCTTGGTATTGTACACCAAACATTAGCACAATATACTCCTCAACAGAATGGTTTGGTTGAAAGAAAAAAATAGGACATTAGTTGATATGATTAATACAATAATTTATCTGCAAAATTGCCTTTAAATTTATGGAGTGAAACATTACTTGATGCAAATTGTATTCCATCTAGGAAAGTGCATGTTTCACCTTATGACATATGGAATGGAAGAAAACAAAATCTGAACTATGTTAGAGTGTGGGTGCTTGGCCTTTTTATATAGTTCCTGCTGTAAAAAAAAAAAAAAAACTAAATTAGGGCTAAGAGTGGTTAGAAGTATGTTTGTGGGATATGCACACAATTCAAAGGCATACTAATTATTAGACTTGGAGTCTAATGTTATAGTAAAAATAAAAGATACAGAATTTATAGAAGACAGATTTTGTGTCTATACCTATAACACCAATTGTTAACACACAACCTCCACAATCTAAATTAGTTCTTATCACACCTGATAGTGAGATGAATCAAAGGAAATAAAATAATCTCTCTTGTGAGCTAAGGAAATGTCAAAGAATTAGAAAAAAAAAAAAA